TGTTGGTGTGGGAGCTGGTGGTGGTGTGGGAGAATGGTGGTGGTGGGAGATGGTGGTGGTGTGGGGAGCTGGTGGTGGTGTGGGGATGGTGGTGGTGTGGGAGATGGTTGTTTGGTGTGGGAGATGGTGGTGAGTGTGGGAGCTGGTGGTGGGTGTGGGAGATGGTGGTGGTGTGTGGGATGGTGGTGGTGTGGGAGACTGGTGGTGTGGGAGATGGTGGTGGTGTGGGAGATGAGTTGTGGTGTGGGAGATGGTGGTGGTGTGGGAGGCTCGGTGGTGGTGTGGGAGATGGTGGTGGTGTGGAGATGGTGGTGCGTGTGGGTGATGGTGGTGTGGGAGGATGGTGGTGGTGAGGGAGATGGTGGTGGTGTGGGAGTGGTGGTGGTGTGGGAGATTGGTGGTGAGTGTGGAAGCTGGTGGTGGAGTGGGAGATGGTGGTGGTGTGGGTTTGGTGGTGGTGTGGGAGGATTGGTGGTGGTGTGGAGATGGTTGTTGGTGTGGGGAGATGGTGGTGGTGTGGGTGATGGTGGTGTGTGGGAGTTGGTGGTGGTGTGGAGCTGGTGGTGGTGTGGGAGAGGTGGTGGTGGGCGAGATGGTGGTTGGTGTGGGAGATGGTCGGTGGTGTGGGAGTTGGTGGTGGTGTGGGAGATGGTGGTGGTATGTTGGAGATGGCTGGTGGTGTGGGAGATGGTCTGTGGTGTGGGAGATGGTGTGTGGTGTGGGAGATGGTGGTGGTGTGGGAGATGGTGGTGGTGTGAGGAGATGGTGTGGTGTGGGAGTGGTGGTGGTAGGGGGAGATGGTGGTGGTGTTCTGGGAGATGGTGTTGGTGTGGGAGATGGTGGTGGTGTGGGAACGCTGGTGGTGGTGTGGGGGAGATGGTGGTGGGTGGGGAGATGGTGGTGGGTGTTGAGTGGTGGTGTGGGAGATGGTGTGGTCTGTGGGAGATGGTGGTGGTGTGGGAGATGGTGGTGGTGTGGGAGCTGGTGGTGGTGTGGGAGATGGTGGTGGTAGTGGGAGATGGAGGTGTGTGGGAGATGGTGGTGTGGGAGATGGTGGTGTTGTGGGGATGGTGGTGGTGTGGGAGATGGTGGTGGGAACTGTGGAGATGCAGCTTGGTGGTGTGGGAGCTGGTGGTGGTGGTGTGGGAGAATGGTGGTGGTGTGGGAGATGGTTTAGGTGGTGTGGAGATGGTGGTGGTGTGGGAGATGGATGGTTGTGGGAGTGGTGGTTGGTTGTGGGAGATGGTGTGGTGTGGGAGATGGTGGTGGTGTGGGATGGGTGGTGGTGTGGGAGTGGTGGTGGTTGTGGGAGATGGTGGTGGTGTGGAGCTGGTGGTGGGTGTGGGAGATGGTGGTGTGGGCAGATGGTGGTGTTTGGGAGATTGGTGGTGGTGTGGGCACTGATGGTGGTGGTGTGGGAAGTGTGTGGTGGTTGTGGGAGATGGTGGTGGTGTGGGAGCTGGTGGGTGGTGGTGGGAGCTGGGTGGTGTTGTGGGAGCTGGTGGTGGTTGTGGGAGCTGGTGGTGGTGTGGAGTGGTGGTGGTATGTGGCGAGATAGTGGTGGTGTGGGAGATGGTGGTGGTGTGGGTGCTGGTGGTGGTGATGGGAGATGGTGGTGTGTGGGAGCTGGTGCGTGGTGTGGGAGCTGGTGGTGGGGTGGGAGATGGTGGTGGCGTCTGTGGGAGATGGTGGTTGGTGTGGGGAGATGGTGGTGGTGTGGGAGCTGGTGGTGGTGTGGGAGTGGTCGGTGGTGTGGGAGATGGTGGTGGTGTGGGAATGATGGTGGTGGTGTGTGGGAGCTGGTGCGGTGGAGATGGTGGTGTGTGAGGAGATGGTGTGGTTGTGGGACAAGATGGTGGTGGGTTTTCTGTGGGAGTGGTTGGGTGTGTGTGGGAGATGGTGGTGGTGTGGACGATGGTGCGGTGGTGTGGGAGCTGGGGTGGTGGTGTGGGAGATGGTGGTGATGTGGGAGCTGGTGGTTGGTGTGGGAGCTAGGTGGTGTGTGGGGACAGTGGAGGTGAGTGTGGGGAGTGGTGGTGGTGTGGGAGCTTGGTGGTCGGTGTGGAGTTGTTGGTGGTGTGGGAGCTGGTGGTGGTGTGGGGACGTGGTGGTGGTGTGGGAAAACTGGTGGTGGTGTGGGAGTGGTGGTGGTGTGGGAGATGGTGGTGGTGTGGGAGTGGTGGTGGTGTGGGAGCTGGTGGTGGTGTGGGAGATGGTGGTAGGTGTGGGAGACGGTGGTGGTGTGGGAGATGGTGGTGGGTGGGAAGATGGTGGTGGATGTGGGAGCTTGTGGTGGTGTGGGTAGATGGTGTTGGTGTGGGAGATGGGTGGTGGTGTGGGGAGTGGTTTTGGTGTGGGAGATGGTGGGGTGTGGGAACTGGTGGTGGTGTGGGGAGCTGGTGGTGGGTGGGAGATGGTGGTGGTTTGTGGGAGCTGGTGGTGGTGTGGGAGCTGGTGGTGGGTGTGGGAGGAGGTGTGGTGTGGGAGATGGTGGTGTGTGGTGAAGATGGTGGTGGATTGTGGGAGCTGGTGGTGGTGTAGGGAGCTGGTGGTTGTGTGGGAGACGGTTGGTGGTGTGGGAAATGGTGTGGTGTGGGAGTATGGTTGTTGAGTGTGGACTGGTGGTGGTGTGGGAGATGGTGTTGTTGGGAGGAGTCGGTGTGGGTGTGGAGCTTGGATTGGTGGTTGTGGTGAGACGGTGTGTGAGTGGGAGATGGTGGTGGTTGTGGGAGATGTAGTGGTGTGGGGAGATGGTGGTGGTGTTGGGACGATAGGTAGGTGGTTGTGGATATAGGTGGTGGTTTGTGGGAGAATCTAGGTGGTGGTGTGTGGAGTATAGGTGGTGTGATGTGGGATCTGGTGGTGGTGTGGGAGATGGTGGTGTGGTGTGGGAGGTGGTGGTGGTTGGAGGGAGCGGGTGGGGGTGTGGGAGCTGGTGGGATTGGGAGAGGTGGGTGTGGGAGATGGTGGGGGTGGGGAAGTGGGATGGTGGGAGTGGTGGGGTGGGAGGGTGGTGGGGGTGGGGGAAGGGTAGTGGTGGGGAGATGGGGGTGGTTTGGAACGGGTGGGGTGGGGGAGTGGTGGTGGGGGGGAATGGTGGTGGTGGGGAGTGGGGTGGTGGGGAAATGGTGGTGGTGGGAACTGGTGGTGGTGGGGGGGGTAGGGTGGTGGGGTGGGGGGGGGCCTGGTGGTGGTGGTGGGGGGCCCGGTGGTGGTGTGGGAGCGGGTGGTGGTGGTGGGGGGGTGGGGGTGGGGGGGGGGGGGGGGGGGGTGGGGGGGGGAGTGGTGGTGGTGGGGGGAGCGGGGTGGTGGAGGGGTGCGGGCGTGCTAGTTTGGGAGGTACAGGCTGTGGCGGGGGGGGCGTGGGGTGCGGTGGTGGAGTGGTGCGGCGTGGGGGGGGTGGGGGATGTGGGCGTGCTGGAGGTGGAGGGGGGGCAAGCAGTTGGAGGGGGAGGGGTGTGGGCTGCGAGCTGGGAACGATGTGCGCGTTGCTGGGGGAGGGGGTGAGCAGGTGGGGTGGAAAGGTTGGCGTGTAGGGTGGCGGGTGGGCGTGCTGGGGGGGGGGGGGCCGGGGGTGGAGGGGTGGGACGTGCGGTGGGGAGGGCGTGCGGTGGGGGGGTGGGGCGTGTGGTGGGGAGGGGGGGGGGACGTGCGGTGGGAGGGCGGTGATGGAGGGTGTGGGATGCGGTTTGGGAGAGGTGGGGCCTTTGCTGAAAGTGGGGGGTGTTCTGGGGTGAGGGGTCTGGGGGTGAGGGGTCGGTGGTGAGGGCGTGTGGTTGTGGGGGCGTGCGGGTTTGGGGGCGTGCTGGAATAGTGGGGGCGGCTGTAATAGTGGGGGCGTGCTGGGGGGTGGGGGGTGGGGGGGTAAGGCGTGCTGGCAATAGTGGGGGGTGTTTGTAATAGTGGGGGCGTGCTGGGGGGGGGGCGTGCTAGTGGTGGGGTCGGGGGGTAGGTGGGGGTGCTGGTGTTGGTTGGTACTGCTTTTGGCGTGCTACGGGGTACAAAGTTAGGGCGTGCTGATTTGGAGGGGGTGGAGGGTGGGGGGGGGGGGTATGGCGGGTGGGGGCGGCGGGGTTTTGGGAGGGGTGGTGGAGTGGTGGGGGCGTGCTGGTAGTGGAGGGGTCGGGACGTGCTGGTGTTGGAGGGGTGCTGGTGGTGAGTGATGGAGCGTGCTTTTGGTGAAGGGGTGGTGTTAGTGGAGGGGTGAGGGGAGTTATTGTAGTACTGTCTACTTTATCCTGCAGCTCAACAAACAACACTTTAATTATCCAGATCCTCGTGTCATCATATTGCAACATCTCTGCATCAGCTTTCAATTTCTCTATTATTTATATAATTTTTTACAAACTTTCCTTTTACAACTGCCCACACATTCCCTTCTTTCAACCGACGTTGTACTGGTAGACTGAGAGGAGACTTCCAGTTGATGGTACTGGAAGCCACGGTTAGGCGATTGATGGGAATGAATGCTACCTGGATCTCTGTGCCAAACTGGGACGTAGGGACCAACACCTGTACCAGGAGGACCTAGCACTTTATTCCAGAGCGAATACCTGAGGGCACAGGACTGAAACATTTCGGATCAGGGAAGTTGTCTCCAGGGACTACAGGATAACCTCAATAGGCACACCGAGGCACTGGGAGTGTCTACTGAGACAAGAAGCCCACGAGAAGCTCTGTAAGAGGTAAACAACACTGTGAGTGGTTCATGGATGGTGGTTATGAGGGAGTCAAGGGGACATTTATGGCTAGTGAAGGAGGGGAGAGCCGTTGTTTGCAGGGGTAACCACAGGGTCTTATATTAGGCCCGGCAGTGATTAATGAGCGAGCCTACAGTACCTGTGTGTACACCAGCGGGATGCTCACCCAATCGTAACACCAGAGCAAGCCACATTTGGCTCGAAATTCGAGAAACTCCTGTAATAAAAGGGGAAAGTCGGTAGGGCAGGTATGCGGCATGGCCCATGGAAGTTTGGAATGCTGTTTGGTGATTACCCTACCTGAGTGTACACTAGAGGGATTGACACCCAGTCATAGCTCCAGAGCATTCCGCATTTTTGTCTGAACTCATTGAACTCCTGGAAAGAGAGGACATCTAGAGTTGTGGGGGACTGCTGGCTGGAGTGTTGTTAACAGTTAGCGGGGGTAAATTTGTAGGGGAACTGCTGGCTGGAGTGTTGTTAACAGTTAGCGAGGGTAAAGTTGTGGGGGACTGCTGGCCGGAGTATTGTTAACGGTTAGCTGGGGTAAAGTTGTGGGGGACAGCTGTTAGGGCTGGTGTTACCAGTTAACTGAGCTAGGTCAAATATGTGAGTACATTCGGCGTGGAAGGCAGGTGGAGCTTAGGGACCCCTCACTCCCAGCCAACATGCCACCGTTAAACAGGTTTATAAAGTTTTAGCTTTGTTGATGGGCAGCCTTACTGCAGCAGGACTGTCAGGAGTGTCAGTCGTACCAAAGAGTCTGAAGCCTCTTCACATTCAGTCATTAGTGTGGGATTGCGAAGCTATTATATGAGTGATACTGAAGCGGACATTCTGGTTACTATTACACTGATATTATTGGTTTCTCATTTTAGTTTTATAACATTGTAAGCTGTACTGATGCTGCGTCAAAATCTGCTCGTCACCACATTAACTGAAGAGGTAAAAACCCTCGTGTTTCTTTAACTGTGGAGGTAAAGACAGAACACGAATTACAGTCTCCATTAAGGGCAGGTCTACAGTATACAGTACCCACAAACCTGGCAACCTCAGCCGGTTTCCAGGCTGAGGGAATAATTTCTCCAACTTCTGTCTTGTGTATAGTTGTGAAAGCTGAGGGACTGATTGTTTTACTTCCGACTTTCACTGAATATCATCTATGTATTGACATGATCAAGCAACTGATTGGCGAAACATCTTCAAATAAAGATACCCGGATGTTGCACATGTGTTTAATTCCTCATCTACAGTATACTACTGCTACACCTACTCAGATTTTGTCAGTCAGTGCAATGTTCAGGCTGAGAAAGCCATTAAAGGAGATATACAAATAACGAGAAAAACGTACTGTTTGAAGGGTATTTATTTCATTTTTTTTGCTAACAAACATATTTTTTGCTCCTTTTATCCACTTTGAATTGTTTAGACTGATGCTTCAAATATTTTTTAAAGGAACTTAAATTCTTAAAACAATGACAGACCCATCGGGCTGTTGTTGCAATAAGCGAAATTACAGTTTACCGTTTCATACAAGACGGTTTATATCCCCATTCATGAGCTCTCAAAATCTGTCTGAAACATTAATGTAAAGTGGACGCAAGTGACAGCTAATGGGAAGTATTTGTTGTTAAGTGACTGACACAGTCGACGATAAAGGGATAAATTACGTGAAATAGTTGGATGTCATTCAGAGGAATGCTGAAATACTTAATAAACAGTAATATTACTTGAGTTTATAAGACGTGTGTTGCTATATATGAGCAACAAGAGACACACAAGATACCTTGTGTATCATCAGATGTCATTATCGTCCTGATAAACAATGTTTATCAGGACTTTAAATGCCTTAGCAAATATTGTTTGTGTTCTGCTGACACTGAACCATTATTAAAAATAAGTATTGGTATTCATAAAATGACTCAGCCAACACACATACAAGCAAAAATTTGGAAAGTTATTAGGAATTTTTCTGGCATTTCCCTACCATCAGACCACTTTTGCCATCAGGAAAAATTCAGGTGACGCCGGTGTTGACCTGGTCAGTGGAGCTGTAAGTCATTTGACCGAAGCTTTCTGCTGGCGCCGCCCCGTAAAAGATCAATATTAGATCATAAGATTTGTTGGTGGATTTACTACTGGTTGGTTTATCAAGTGTAAGGCCTATAAACTGCACAAATACCAGGCTTCATCTCAACCGTACACCAGCAAATTTACATGGACTACGGCTCTCAATGTGTACACAACAATAAGAATATACTCATCAGGGTGCATACAAAGTGAAGACGTTTCTATATGTTGCGTCTACAGACTTGTGGAGTACAATCACTCCTATACACAAATAACCAGCACATAGGAGAGAGAGAAAAGCTTATCAGTGTGGGTAGCTGACTCGAAATCCAGGAGCCTTCCTTAACCAGCCACACGAAAATACGTACATGACTTTTACACTATGCTAATAATTTGTTTAAAAGACTTTGGAGGATCCTCCGGTTACATTACATATTTTTTTTTGTGGTGGATTGTGTAATACGAGGTCGTTGCTGACGACAGTGACAGGTGTGAGCGAGGTACTGCTCCAGATCAGCCCATAAAACACTGATTACTACTGACTGCACTAGTCACGTCTCCAGGGCAGATTTCTACACAGGATCCGTTTGACTGATCGAACACACACACACACACACACACACACATACACACACATTCATGCACAAACATCTTTTCTGGTCGATGTGCAGTCTTGCGTCACTTGACGTCTCTATTTTATTAGAAGCAGAGTTAGTTGTGTTAGTGGTAATTGTTAGTGGTACACAAGGTCTGATAACCCACACCTGAGGAAACAGCCATCCCTTTCCACAACCAATGTACTTAATTCAACGATTTCAAGCTATGTCTATGACTTTTTCATGGATATATAAGTCTCAAACACATTTAATAATAGATATGACTTAATACCGAAGTGAGAAGATTTGAAGGATAACGCAAGAAACTGGGGAGTTGGGTAAAGGGCCAAGTACTCAAGAAGGACTTGAAGAGGTATACAATAAGTCACAACCAGCAGGTGATGGTTGCAGTTGGCGGAATTCATAATGTATATTATGAATGTATGTAATATATATATATATATATATATATATATATATATATATATATATATATATATATATATGTATATATATATATATATTCACACATGCAACTAGGAAAGAAAAATATTATTTGAGGAAGACTTCAGCCTCTGTGAGGTGACGAATGGGTTTTATAATTTGGTAAAAGATTCAACGAAACAACTAATAACTGTCTCAATTACTGACGTCGTCAAGAGTGATGGCGTCTGGTATAACACTAAAAAATATGACTTATTGAAATATTAGACAAAAAAAAATCGTAGACTAAATTTAATAATTTGGGTTTTATTTTTGGCAGACAAAAGTTGGATGAGATCTTGAAAAGAAATTTTTTTAATAGTGAAGTAATTAAGGTTGTGTGTAAGAGTGAAGCATTGATGGAACTCTTACTAAATGTAAGTGAAAATTGAACTGGTAAATTATGAAACAAGTGATTATAGCCTGGACATTGTGTGTGTGTGTGTGTGTGTGTGTGTGGTGTGTGTGTGTGTGTGTGTGTGTGTGTGTGTGTGTACTCACCTATATGTACTCACCTATATGTGGTTGCAGGGGTCGATTCATAGCTCCTGGCCCCGCCTCTTCACTGGTCGATACTAATTCACTCTCTCCCTGCTCTGTGATCTTTGTCATACCTCTTCTTAAAGCTATTTATGGAACTTGCTTCCACTACTTCACTCTCCAGATTATTCCAGTTCCTGCCAACTCTAAGACTAAAGAAATACTTCCTAACATCCCTATGACTCGTCTGGGTTTTCAGTTTCCAATTGTGTCTCCTTGTTTCTGTATCCCATCTCTGAAACATTCGATCCTTGTCCACCTTGTCAATGCCTCTTAGTATTTTATACGTTGTTATTATGCCCCCTCTATCCCTCCTATCCTCTAGTGTCATCAGGTTGAGTTCCCTTAACCTCTCCTCATAAGACATACCCCTCAGTTCCGGGACCAATCGTGTTGCAAATTTTTGCACTTTCTCCAATTTCGTGACGTGTTTGACTAAGTGAGGGTTCCATACTGGCGTTGCATATTCCAGTATAGGCCTTACGTACACTGTGTACAATGTCGTGAATGACTCCTTACTCAGATCAATAAACGCCAATCTCAGGTTTGCCAATCTCCCATATACTGCAGCAGTTATTTGATTGATGTGTGCCTCAGGGGACATGTTCGTTATAATGCTTACCCCAAGATCCTTTTCTTTAATTGACGTTTGCAGATGTTGGTTTCCTAACCTGTACTCCGTCTGCGGCCTTCTGTGTCCTTCCCCAATCTTCATGACCTTACACTTACTGGGGTTAAACTCCAGGAGCCATTTGTCGGACCATACTTGTAGTTTGTCCAGATCCCCTTGTTATCTTAACTGATCCTCGCTCACTTGTATTCTCCTCATCAGTTTCACATCATCAGCGAACAGTGACACTTCTGAATCTATTCCTTCCACCATGTCATTCACGTATACAAGAAACAGCACCGGGCCTAGGACTGAACCTTGTTGAACCCCACTCGACACATGCGCCCACTCCGACACTTCAGCACGTACCAACACTCGTTGTTTCCTTCCTGTCAGGTACTCCTTGATCCATTGCAGTACTTTCCTCGTTATTCCTGCCTGCTCCTCTAATTTTTGCACCAGTCTCTTGTGTGGTACTGTGTCAAAAGCCTTCTTGCAGTCTAAAAAGATACAATCTACCCATCCCTCTCTCTCCTGTCTTACTTCTGTTACCTTACCGTAGAACTCAAGTAGATTTGTGACACAGGATTTCCCATCTCTGAAGCCGTGCTGACTGTCATGTATGAGCCCAATCTTTTCAATGTGTTCCACCACTCTTCTCCTGATAATCCTTTCCATGACTTTACATACTATACAAGTCAGTGATACTGGTCTGTAGTTTAACGCTGCCTGTCTGTCCCCTTTCTTAAAAATTGAAACTACATGTGCTGTCTTCCACGCCTCAGGCAACTGCCCAGTTTCGATAGATTTACTGAAGATTGCTGCTAGCGGCACACACAGTTCCTCTGCTCCCTCTCTCAGTATCCATGGAGATATGTTATCTGGGCCCACCCCCTTTGAGATATCGAGTCCCTCTAACAGTTTCTTCACCTCTACCTTGGTTATGTGTATTGTGTCCAGCGCCTGCTGGTGCACCCTACCTCCACAGTTTGCTGGAAACATTCCTGACTCTATTGTGAATACTTCTCTAAATCTTTTGTTTAGTTCATCACATACTTCTTGGCCAATCTTTGTGAGCTTCCCTCCTTCTTTCCTCACCCTGATTACCTGGTCCTTGACTGTTGTTGTTGTTGTGTGTGTGTGTGTGTGTGTACTCACCTAATTGTACTGTCCTAATTATGGTTGCAGGGGTCGATACTCAGCTTCTGGCCCTGCCTCTTCACTGATTGCTACTAGGTCCTCTCTCTCTCCCTGCTCCATGAGTTTTATCATACCTCGTCTTAAAACTATGTATGGTTCCCACCTCCACTACGTCACTCTCTAGGCTATTCCTCGTTCCTGGTCGTTACAAGGTCCACTCTCCTATCTTCGAGAGGTTTATCGTTCTTCTTTTTAAAGCTATATATGGATCCTGTCACAACAGTGTGTAAGAGTGAAGCATTAAAGGAACACTTATTAAATGTAAGTGAAAATCGAACTGGTAAATTATGAAACAAGTGATTATAGCCTGGACATTGTGTGTGTGTGTGTGTGTGTGTGTGTGTGTATGTGTTTTTGTGTGTGTGTGTGTGTGTGTGTGTGTGTGTGTGTGTGTGTGTGTGTGTGTGTGTGTGTGTGTGTGTGCGACAAGAGGACAGGTTGGTCACATTACCTCCATGATATGTTTCACTCCCATTGGGTCAGGTATCCTCTTCTGAGCCTTGATGTCCTTCAGCAGGGCCGTGAACCACGTACACGGCACCCAGTACGTGTTGAACTCCTTGTTGGGCACCAGCTTGTAGATACCCAGCTCCGTGCTAGTAATGAAACCTGGGTATACCAGAGAGGGGAACAGAGAGAGAGAGAGAGAGAGAGAGAGAGAGAGAAGAGAGAGAGAGAGAGAGAGAGAGAGAGAGAGAGAGAGAGAGAGAGAGAGAGAGAGAGAGAGAGAGAGAATGGATTAGAATGTAGGAATTGAAGGAAGGAGGGAGAGATCATGCCAGGGAGGGTGAGAGAGGAGAGAAGTGAGAGGAATGAAAGGAGGGAGAGATCATGCCAGGGAGGGTGAGAGAGGAGAGAAGTGAGAGGAATGAAAGGAGGGAGAGATCATGCCAGGGAGGGTGAGAGAGGAGAGAAGTGAGAGGAATGAAAGGAGGGAGGGGATGGCCAAGCAAAGCGACAGTGAGTGTTGGATGTTACGGGGACGAAATGGGAGATTAGGGAGGAAGAGAGGAAAAATGGGAATTTAAAGAGGAAGAGAAAGGGAATGGGACGTGAGGAAGGGAGAGTGAATGAGAGGTTAGGGAGGAAGGGAAGGAGAGAGGGAGGGAAAGAAAATATTGTCAGTAAAATTTAAATAATCGAAGAGTGATATTGTTTTATATTCCGACGATATTACTTGTCATCTCTCTCTCTCTCTCTCTCTCTCTCTCTCTCTCTCTCTCTCTCTCTCTCTCTCTCTCTCTCATCCTCCTTCCTTCCTCCAAGTCTTCCTCCACACATACCTGCCTCCACCAGGTGGTCGAGTGTAGGGAACCTCTTCTTGAGTGGCGACGATATAGACCTCAGTATGAGGACGAGGCTGAGGTTGATGTATCTGGCTAAGGTCCTCCTCATCATCCGGCCCTTGTCATCGTAGCCGGTGATGTGCAGGGCGATGGCGTGGATGATTCTGCAGAGATGAACACACAGATGAGCCTAAGATTCTGGTTGAATATATATATATATATATATATATATTATATATATATATATATATATATATATATATATATATATATATATATATATATATATATAAGATAAAAGCTTCGCTGTATCTGAGTCAACCTGCCTGTCTCTCTTTTATTATTATTATTATTATTATTATTATTATTATTATTATTATTATTATTATTATTATTATTATTATTTCTACAAGTACATGATAAAACTGTTATATATCTGACATATAGAAAGTCACTTGGTTAGGCACAGCATTTCTAGCAACTTTTCTTAATCTTGTCCCCCAGGATGCAACCCACACCAGTCGAATAACACCTAGGTACCTGCTGACTATTAGGTGAATAGGGGCAGCAGGTGTAAGATGACTATTACCCGGGTACCTACTGACTGAACAGGGATAACAGGTATAGGATGACTAACACCCAGGTTCCTGCTTACTGCTAGGTGAATAGGGGCAGCAGGTGTAAGATGACTATTACCCGGGTACCTACTGACTGAACAGGGACAACAGGTATAGGATGACTAACACCCAAGTTCCTGCTTACTGCTAGGTGAATAGGGGCAGCAGGTGTGAGGAACCAAGCTTGAAGTTTCCACCCGTGCCGGGGATCAAACCACGGACATCTCCCCTAGTGTGTGAGCTGAGGCCGCTACCAACCAAGCCGTGAGCACCCGGCCAAGCCACGAACAAAACTAACTACTGCCCTAACCCTGCCATTTCCCAAGTGACCCTCACGGGTTTAGCGCTTCCCCTGGAGTGTAACAATGGCTGACAGTCTTAACTTTCGCCAGCCGCATTCCTCTTTGTCTTACTTGGCACTTGGAGGCACCAGTGCCTTAACTGGCAGCCTGGTGGGTGTTTACTGCCCATTTAGCAGGTGCCTCGTCACCGACACCGACCTGTCACACTCTCCTTTTTATTTGTGGCACTGTCCTGTATTTCTGTGACACTGTCCAGTCTATTTCTGTAGCACTGTCTATTTCTGTGGCACTGTCCTGTCTATTTCTGTAGCACTGTCTATTTCCGTGACAATGTGTATTTCTGAGGCACTGTCCTGTCTATGTCACGGTCCTGTCTATTTCTGTGGCACTGTCTTGCCTATATTGCACTGTCCTGTTCATTTCCATAACACTGCCCTATTTCTGTGGCACTGCCCTGTCTACTTCTATGGCACTGTCATTTTTTTTCTGCAAGTTTGGCATAAAAAGCAAGGGCGTTTGCTGCCGAATAAGCATAGAGAATTTTTTTTTTGTCTATGCTGGATGGGGGGGCGCAAACCGCGGACTATAAATTGAGAGTCCTACAATCTACCAGTAGATCCATTTTTTTTTTTTTGCCTCGAGAATTGATCTAAAGTTAAAGCTCCTGGGCTGTGGAGAGGAGTTTAGTTGGGCAACAGATGGTGCCTCTGACGGAATAAGGTACAGTTGGTACTAGGTGAATAAGAATAGCAGGTGTAAGGAACCGTGCCCAACGTTTACACTCGTGCCGGGGATCGAACCACGGACATCTCCCCCCGACATATTCCATTTGTAATCCCGGTAAAGACGGTAGAGCGTCGGTTTGTTAATTTTCAAGTCGCAGTTCGCGTCCTCCATCCATCTTTCTGTTCATTCATTCATAGTTCTTTATACCAATTTAATCTGTGTTTATAGTCATATATATATAATATATATATATATATATATATATATTATATATATATATTATATATATATATATATATATACTACTGTATAGAAAGCCGCTTGTTATGCAGAGCATTTCGTTCAAATTAGGTCAGTTTTGTCCCAGGATGCGATCCACACCATCGACTAACACCCAGGTATCCATTTTACCGATGGGTGAACATAGACAACCGATGTAAGGAAACACGCCCAATGTTTCCACCCTCGCCAGGAATCGAACCCAGACCCTTAGCGTGTAAAGCGAGAGCTTTGCCACCAGGCCACGGGGCACCCTAACAGAATGTAAACATAGAGCACATGAAGCCCTTAAGCACTGAACATGTGGTAATGGCCAAGTGACCACAACATTAGTGACATGTTGTCAGACTCCAAACATTTCATTGTAACAGACTTTAAATTTTGATTCCAAAAGTGGCACTTGCTTTTAGGAAATTTCCTATTGTCATATTAAAGAAAATGGGCCTAGGGTAACTTTTAAACTAGAGGGGGACGATCTTATTTTAAATAGACAAACTCTACTTAACTCTTAGGCAGGCGCTGGTCAAACCACAAAAATGGGCAGGAAAAGCTGACCTTAAGTACCCCTCACTTCGCCATTATGGAGGTACTTTTATGACAGTCCAACAAATTCAGATAGGAATCTGGCTTCAGATTTGTACGCTGCTCTCTATTATAAAGGAGTCAAGTTTGAAGAAATCAAAGCTATTATTATATAATGATGATTCTAAAATATTTCTTTCCCGCCAAGAATAGCAGAGAACCAGGATTCTGGCTTCTAACCAATCCATAGAGTTGTTGTGAACATGGGTGTGGTTGAATATCACATTTGATTCCTGAGCTCTTCATATCAAATAGCAACTAAAGGTTTGCTGGGCCGTCCCACATAAGATAAATTGCAGCTATTACAACCAGTCCTTGAAAAAACAGTGTTGAGGGGAATTCTTCATCAAAATGCTTTTAACCGTCCATGAATTCTTAAAAAAATTACTTGTATGATGAGCAGGACAGATAAATTATTGTATAGGAGAACCAGCACATTCTTAATCTGAAGTGTTATCCTAGTTACACTCCCATGATAAACTTTCCTAGCTGCTAGTAATGCTGTTTCTGCAAACTCCTTAGGTTGCCAAAGTTTCGTAGCAATGTCAAAAGATTTTCCAAGTTTCCTTATCAAGAATCTCTGGGCTGCACACTCGGTAAATTCTCAGAAACATAATAAGAAAGACACTCCTTTTTACCTTTTTATTTTTCTTTCATGGTTAGAGCAGAGTAGTGGATGTATGAGCAAACATTAGTGGCCTTCCTAGGAAACTTGAACTTTAGATGCACCAAGAGCATGTCCAGATCAATATCATTCAGCTAAAGACACAAGATGTCATCCACATATCTGAACCACTTAGCTTCGCGGGCAGAATATCTTTCAGTGGCTTAATCTCGAGAAACTTTATATACAGATAGCTTAATAGGGGAGACATTGGGTTTTTCATAGCCATTCCCTGCCTTTGAGCGTAATATTTCCCTTCAGACTTAAATTTGCAATCAATCACATACAGATTAATCAACTCAGTAATGGTGTTCTTATCGAATGGCGGGAGGAGTTCATCTGTTTATTCGTCCAGATAGGCTAACAGATCCAGACCAGGAACTTGGGTAAACAGCATTGTGACATCACAACTAACTAGTAAAAAATCATTGGACACGTTGATAGTGAGGTCAATGTTTTTGACGTGGGTATCAGAGATATTGCCAAACATTGGAGTTAATACTTTTACCAATCATTGGGACAGGCTACATACATATCGCCGACCCCACTGACCTAATAATAGGTCTCGCTGGAAATCACAGCTTATGAGTTTTAATCCAACCGTACATATACGGGAGTGTCGCTGACCTAGCTAACAATTGTTGAACCAATTCCACATTACCTCTCAGTAAACTTCTAAGTTGTTTATTAAACTTACTATTAACCTGGTCCCAGGTTCTTATTAAGGGATGTGTAAGTTCCCCTGTCTTCTAATAACTTGTTAATTTTTCTGCTAGAATTCTTGTCCATTATTACTATCGTTTTTGCTTCGTCTGATTTCGTAAGGTGAAATCTAGGATCTTTCCTTGATTCGTAGTATGACAACATATCACTGAGGACAATTTGGTTCCACAGATCCGAGCAAAGCCTTTGGAAATGTTAAACGTTTACAGTGACAAGTCATTTTGTTTTACCAGATTGCAGAACGACTCAGCAAGGTCAACATAATTAGTGCCACCACTAGTAGGAACGAAACTTAACCCATATCCTAGTGCTGTCTGTTGGGCACGGGTAGACTCAACACTACAGGTTAACAGCGAAATCCACGATTAGCGTGTTGGGACCAGCCACTTTGTTCTGTGAGGTTGTTAAGTTTTCTTGCGTGTATTCATTCAGTTTTCCGACTCATTATTCTCAACGCCCTATATATGTAATCTAATAAATGATCTTGCCACTCGAGTGGTACCAATTTTTTAAGCAGATGTTTGGTAAGTTGGGAGATGAAGGATAAGTAAGGATGGAATGTGAATGTCAGGTAGTTGGGGGTGAGGAGACGAGGTAACAATGATAAGTCACTCAACTACAAGAGTGTGTGCGTGTGTATTGTGTTTTGCATAATAATCAGATGACTGTGTATACGACACCACCCAACAGAAACACACTTGTGTACCTGCATGACAGTGAATTGGTGGTGGGTACATTTTTGTAATTGCCAGCTTTTTATTATTATTATTAATTACACAACGAAGGAGGCAAGATATTTGGGCTAATTGTAGGGTGCCTGCTGGAGTTGCAGTGCAACTGGAGTAGCAGTGCCTGCTGAAGTTCAAATGCATTGGGATAATGCCTGCAGTATTCTATGCACACGGCTCACCGCCTTTGAGCTGCATAAAGTATTTGAGATGTAGGCTCTGAAATGTCGCTTATGTTGTTCTCCTTCCCAGTGTATCTTTGTTAATGTATTTTGGTTTCAAATAAAGTAGGGTGGTAGAAGAAATCTTCAAACAGCTCCGGGGAGAATCTTGAGTTTTCCCTGAAGTACGTTTATTCTCTTCTCTGAGGATGAGGGTCCCCAGTCCATTTCTAGAGGTCACACCTTCCTATAATTATATATGTATGTATATATATATATATATATATATATATATATATATATATATATATAATATATATATATATATATAATATATTTTATGAGGTCAACGACATCATAAAGAGAGCCCTTGCTACAGCTG